GAAAATCTCAGCAAAGGAAATCAACTAATTAAAAGAAGTTGTTTAAATTTGTTGTGGTGTGTGTCTGCAGTCCCAGCTATCCAGAAAGCTGAGGCAGGAGGATTGCTTGAACTTAGAAGTTTTAGGCCAGCCCTATATCAAAAGAGAAAAGGAAAATATAGAGAAAGAAGAAAAAAAAGAAGAGATAATCAAAGATAGGAGAAAAGGGGGATTGTGTGATAGAAGGCCAGGAAGATGGGTTTATGAGAAAATCACCGCCAGGATCACTGGCTGCAGAGCATTTGTAGGATGAGGATGAAGAGCTACACTGGCAAGGAGATGTTTTGCTGTTGCAAAACTTTTGTAGGCACCAATGCCTACAAATTGAGAAGCAATGGGATCTGTGTAAAAACTTGCCGGTATGGCAGACAGGGAGATGGCTGCGATCTTTAACACAAATGCAAGGTTTTCTTTTAAGCAGTTTTTTGAGTTTTTAAATTTGAGAAATTTGAAAATATCAGTTAAAACAAAAAAACCAACAACAATAACAACAACTAAAACAGAGACCAGAGTAGGAAGATATGGATGTTTTGTTAGAGTGTATGTTTTCTTAGAGTGTATTGTAGACAAATAGTAAGGGCAACCGTCCTTGAAGAACACCAAAAAACACTCTGTACTGAAAAGACAGCTTTTAATACCTAACCTTCAGAAAGGGTAAATCTACTTTATCATATCAGATTATACATTCCCTGTGGGTAATATATTATGAAAAGGGCATTTGGATGATGCTTGAATTTTGCTATTCATTTTACTATAATATTTTCCAACTGCAGGTGGCAGTGTATCCAAGCGAAATTATAAATGTATAGACATTATAAAGGCTTACTTTATTCTGGTGTCTAATTTCAATGGAAACCAATTTTTGGTTAAACCTTAAATTTCAGTGCTTAATACATTTTTATGCCAAAATCTCTTACTGAAAAGGTAAATTAATGTTTTCAACCCTCTCTCTACATGAAATGGAATTTTTTTCCTTAAGTTGAAATTTTTATTCATAAAATATTAATAAAATTATCATTATAGATTAACCCTTTCCCATTCTCATAAAAATCTTCCCTGAATTGTGCTGAATTGTTTTAAAAAAAAAGTACTAAACTGTCATATCTGTGTCAATCCATATGGCAAATATAAGGAGAGTCAGGAATTTTGCCAACTTGTAGAAAAGTGAACAACTTATAAACAGAAAACAAATCAGGTAAAAGTAATATGACCAAAAAGAAACAAAAGTGAATTTTAAGGGGATGAGGAAGGCAGAAGTACCTGATGGCTTTGGCAGATGTGGATTTTACAAAATAAATGTCATTCGAGCTGGGCGTTGGAGATAAAAGATTTCCTGTGTGCCTAGGACTGACGGGCATTCCAAATGGAAGAACAGAATCTGTGTGAAGATTCTTTATATGATTAAATATGATTATGTGATTAAAACTCTTGTTTGAGCATCAGGAATGTGGGAAAATAAATATGAAAAGGTAGACGGGGTGTTCATCACAAAGAGCCTTGGAACTGAGGCCAGTGATGAGAATACAGTCAGGGGAGCCGGTGATCAAACAGCCAGTATTATGTAGGCTGATGGGGGGTAGGTTGGGAGAACAGAGGAGGAGGGAGACAGCTGGGCTGTTACAATTATAGGAGAGAAATGAAGTAATAGAAAGAAGAAAAAGGAGAAAGTTGAAAGAAACTTCACAAGTAAACTGAACTCTACAAATGTGGAACCCGGGTTAGTAGCATGGAGATGAATGAGGTTGGGCTGGAGGTGGGTTCAGGGCAGCAGATCTGGAACAGGGATGACGGGGTTTCTAGAGGAAAGTGAGTTTTGTAGGTTTTTGAAGTGTCCATTTACATAAAAATATTTCTCAGAGTTGGGCCCTTGACACCCTTCCTACACTTCTGTGACCTTATTAGCTCTTGAACTATTTCTCTGAAACTTTTTTACACTTATCTTTATATCTGACTGCCTTTAGATGCTGGCAACATTCTGAGTTGCATCCTTAACTTTTTTTTGAGACGGTGTGCTATGTGTGTAGCCCACATTGCTTTCAATTCATGATCCTCCTACCAAAGTCAGCCAGCCTGACTGAACTAGCATTGCCCTCAGCTCTCAGAACAATGGGCTTAGAGCAACTTTTCCATTACTCTTGACTATTCTCTAGATATCAGAACATGAAAAAGGTTGAGAGATAGTGCACTGTATGTTGCTTCTGGGTAATCTTTGTGATTTGTGATAGTTTTACAACTCAGATGTATCTGGCTCCAGGCACAATTCTACATCTCCAGGGAGCATCTTTATTTGCATATCATATAATATCATGTAAAAACAAATTTCCCACTTTTCAATCCCCAGATTTTAATCCTTTCCATTTAATGCATAATTATGGTACTGTTGCCGCCTATCAACAATTGAGAATCGGTCTAGAATTTTCTTCACTTTTCATATACACTCTACTTCCTAGATAATATATGACCCCAATCAGAGAAGAGATGTATCTGTACTTACAGCTTTTCTCCCTATTTTTCCATTCCTCACTGAGCTGTTGAGCTGAATAGGTACGAATCTAAATCTCTCTTCAGTGCAGGCCTGCTTTGCCCATGCTTTAGTCTTCCCATGCCCAGGTTTCCTGCTCTCTTCTAGCCTCACCTTGAAGACAGATGTGATTTAGCCAGAGAATTAGTCAAGGGACTGATTCACAGCAAAAGCCTAGATATAAGTACCCACAGCATATAAATGGCCGGAATTTTGTGAACTTGAGTCAGTTAACAAAAACAATGAGTCAGTTTTGTAGGGTTCTTTTTTTTTTTTTCTTTTTCTTTCTCTATGCTTTTGCCATTAACTAGGATCTAAGACATGGACTAGAGAAAGTTGGAACAGAAGTGGCCAGCTTTGTCTCCTGTATCAGGATGTTGTTGGTTGCAAATTACAGAAAGTTCCACTCAAACTGAAGAAAGCAGTAAGGACTTTGCTGGCATACATACTCAGAAGTCCAATGGTAGATCAGTTCTTTATGCCTGGTTAGATCAGAGTTCAAAATTTCTGTAATTTATCTTTACCTACAATAAGTGAAATATTTATATGAAAGTTTAAGCTTTAATATGAAAGGTCCTAGGTGCAGTGCCCAGCACCTAAAACAAACAAAGCAAAGAAAGAAAAAACCCAGGAAGGTAAAGAAATAACAGGCACCATATATCTGTTCAAAAAGCCCATGGCTGGGAGGTCCTAGGTCCTAGGGAGAGACCCTACTATTGTTTTGCTAAATGGTCATGTTATCAAACTGCTTTCTAAATATTTCTTTATACCTAGACTTGTTCTGCTCTCAACCTTGGCCAGAAAAGCTTCTTTTTGCAGTGGACAGCAAAGCAGAGACTCATAACTCGTCAAAGTGCCGAGGAGTCCTCAGCTCTAAATGGAATATCTCTATCAAACTCTTCTCTCCCCCAGGCTCCCTTTACATGAGAGAGTAAAAGTTTTAGCATTCCTAACCCTTCCACCATCTCAATATTATCCTCCAACTCCACCTAGACCTTTGCCCAACATGTCTTCCTACCAACTCCAACTCTTCCTCCTCCTCGTGCATAATCCACTGAATCCAGTTAGTGCTGATCATATGCACATGAGTGTGAGGTAAAGCATGGACAATCCATCAGTGGCCACATTACCAAAGAAAAATGACTCTGCCCTAGCTGCCATCATTTACCAATCACTTATCAGTTAGGAGTGGAGCCCTGTGAGCCCCTCTCCCATCCATGCTGGAATGTTGACTGGCTTGATCTTGTGCAAGCAGCCACTGTGTATTCATGAGTGCAACACCTTTGTCATCTCCAGAAGACATTTCACAGTACTCCTTCCCATCCTCTCTGGTCCTTATATTTCTTTCAACCACCTCTTCTACTATGTTCCCTGAGCCTGGGGGAGAGAAGAGTTTGATAGAGATATTCCATTTAGAGCTGAGGACTCCTCGGCACTTTGACCAGTTATGAGTCTCTGCTTTGCTGTCCACTGCAAAAAGAAGCTTTTCTGGCCAAGGTTGAGAGCAGAACAAGTCTAGGTATAAAGAAATATTTAGAAAGCAGTTTGATAACATGACCATTTAGCAAAACAATAGTAGGGTCTCTCCCTAGGACCTAGGACCTCCCAGCCATGGGCTTTTTGAACAGGTATATGGTGCCAGGTGTGAATTCCCTCCTGTGGATGAGGCCCCGAATCCAATCAGAAAGCAGTTGTTTATCCCTGTAATAGTCATGCCACTATTGCACCAGTGGGCATGTTGTGCTTGATTGGTTAGTATTATAGCACACAGCATCCTGTTGGCTGTGTTTTATTCATTCTCACATTGGCTTTTCAGGCAGTGTCTTTTCCTGGAAGACTTATGTTGGTCTGCTCTTTCTGAGCTACTGGGGGGAGCACAGAATTGTCATGACTAGTTTAGCTGAATCAAGACCCACTTCTGGAGTTGAAGCCTGTCTATAAATTGGAGGGCTTCATGGCATGAGAACAGGGCTGTTGTACATCATGGTATGTCAGCCATGATGTCATCTACCCTTCATCTTCCCCAAAACAAAAACAGAAAGTAATAAGAAGAAAACAACGGTTACCTTTAAGTGAGAAATGCCCATTTTTACAATATAACCTGTCCCCCATGAATAATACACCAAAGTTAAGATGCATAGAAAAATTAGTCATTTGATTTTATATGGCAGCATTTTATTATTTTGGTGGGTGTTTGTTTTTGTGGGGGTTTTGGTGGGTTATCTCTCCTTAACCAGTATCTTACTAAGTAGTATAGGCTGGCCTTGAACTCATCACCCTCCTGCCTCAGCCTCTTGAGTGCTGTGATTATAGGCATGTGCCACCACATCTGGCCATTTTATTTTCATGGTACCTGACATGAAAGAAAAAAAGAAAATTAAAGTGTGGATAAGTACTATGAAATATTTCTATTATAGCTTTCTAAAAATGTTGCTTTTAGGTGATTCCAAACAAGGCCTGAATGGCCTCAGTGTGATGTGTCCATCTGGGGACAATGACATGATAAGGCTGGAACCTGAGTGTCAAGTTCCTCTGCAGAAGGTAAACTGATGCTGTTCTTTCTTATGCATCTTGAAAGGGCTTAAAACTTAGTACGAATTATGTGAAAGATGTTGAGTACTAACTCTAATGAGTTCTTTTTTTATCCATGAGCCTAATTTTTCACTTATGTCATGAAAAAAAAAGCAAAGTCATGTAAGCCACATCCATCTCCCTCCCACTAGAATCAGCACTCATAGCTAGTTCAACTGTGAATTCTATAATGTTGGTATTTGCTGGTGTCTCCATTTTTAAATTTTTTTCATTTCTTTCCTTTTTATTTTAATTTATTTTTATTCTTTTATTTTGGGTCTTTTTGAGACAGAGTCTCCCTGTAGCCCCAGCTGGCCTGGAACTCACTATGTAGACCTGGCTGGCCTTGATCTCACAGAGACCTGCCTGCTTCTGTCTCCTGAGTGCAGGGAATAAAGGTGTGTGTCACCACACCTTGCTCCTTTTTATTTTTACTTTTTATTCTTTAGTTTTTAAATGTGTAGTGTCTGTACACACGTGCACTAAGAATTGGGCCCTAGGCCTTTCACTAAGCTATATGCCCCCAACCCCCTGTCCCAGTTTTTAAAAACATGTCATAAAAGCGTCTTTTGGAATCTCTGGAGGATTTCCTAATAGAGTCTTCAAGCACACACTGACATTATTCTTTCAACATATCTTCCAGACATTTAGGATACATTAAAAATATAAGGTACTATTCTAGACACTGGGATGAATTCTCAAACCACAAAGGGGATATAGAGATTCTTTCCCTCTTTACAAGAACTACAGGGGACAAATCTCAGTCTTGATGTTTCTTACTGTTTAAGGTCATTGACTGAGTACTTAGGAAATCTAACATTTCACCTTGAGGAACAAAGCACTGATTTTTCTGTTGTGTTTTGTTACTATCTTTGATTTTTTTAATTTTAAAATATTTTATTGTTTTTGTTTTATGTGAATGAGTGTATTGCCTACATGTGTGTAAGTATACCTATGTCATGCAATGCCCACAGATATCAGAAGAGGGAGCTGGATTCCCCTGGAACTGGAGTAATAGATGGTTGTTAGCTGCCATGTGGGTACTGGGAATTGAACCCAGGTCTTCTGCAGGAGCATCCAGTTCTCTTAACTGCTGAGCCATCTCTCCAGCCCTATTTTTGATTTGTTTAATGGGATTCTACCAGTTGTTATTAAGGGCTATATTTAATGTAAGTGGTTTTTAAAACTTTGTGTGGATCTAAAAAGCAACATTAATTTTCTATTTTATTTTTTGTTTTAATTAATAGAGTGTCATCTAATCCAGAAAAAGAGTGCTAGAGAGTTTATTAAATATAATATTTGGTTTTCTATGTACTATAACATTTTTATTTATAATTTAATAAACTATAATTTTGATCCAAAATAAAGTTTGAAAAGAATAAGAAAATTTTCAAAAGGATGAAGATATTAGAGCAAAAATAACCACCAGAGCATCCAAATATGTCATAGCATTGACGTTTATGCCACAGCTGAAAGAGCATGTGTACTCTTTTATTTTTAATTCCCAAGTCCTCACTCACAGTAATAACTGAAGTGTGGGAAGGAAGGCTTAAGAAGAAATGGGACTGTGTAGCCTGGCCTCTTCACCTGAAATGCTGAAGCACGCTGTTTCCAGGTCAACATCACTCACTCCCAGTCTTGTTTTCTCAGGGCCAGCAGTGTTAGCATGCATTGAAAAGAGAGGATCCAGAATGATGATTCAATAAAAATCCCTAGAACAGTCTTTACAAATAACACCCCAGCTGGTTCAAATATTGCCCAAAGAAGGGATGAAATAAATCATTTCAATAAGTTCTTCACTTTTCTTCCTTCTCAGAATCTACAGCTTTGCCTTTCTTCTCTTTCTTCTGCCTTGGGACAATGTATCTCTTCTTGCATGAACTAACTCTTCCAACTTCGTTAATTTCTCTCATTCAGTGCTTGTATTGTGAACTCTCCTGCCGTCTGTATAAGTGCTGCCCATAGTTCCTTTCTGTCTTATTTTCACACCACCTGTTTATAACCCTAACCCTAACCCTAACCCTCAGCACTATTGACACATTAGGAGGGTGTGGGTGTTGCGGGGTGCTTACCACTAACCTGAATCTGGTTGCTGGGTAACCATTTGCAGAGGTCTCTGTATATGTGGCCAGTGTGAGGAGGGATGCTCTGACTTGATCCTTTAAGACAGAAATTGAAGATCTATGGATATAAATATATACTAATCATTGATGGGGGGGACTTATAGAAGAGTACCCTAGGCAGAAATTTCCCCTAATACTTCATAGAAGTATATCAAAAGAACAACCAAGCATAATTATGGAGACAAGTATAGAAATTTCAATAGAATATTGCATGGTCTCCTTTCCCTACCATAGAATCAGAATAACTCTTAGGGCATCTAGAATTGTAATATCCTATATAATGTGGTGGGCTCTAGTCACTGAGCACTGGAATGTGGCTAGACCCAAGAAACAAAGCATTAAAAATTTAAAACTAATTTGAATTTTTAAACTGACACAACTAAGTGTCTGGAAAGCTCAAATATATTTGGAGCAGCTTGGTTACATATAACTACTTTGTAAGTTTTTTTAATTAATGGTAATGCTCAATTGCTTTTAATCATACTTTTAAACTATAATCATGACTATTAGAGGACCAAATATGAAAACTGCAAAGTATATTTTATATCAATTACATGTTGATATAACAATGTTGTAAGCATACTCAGTTACAATTGGACATTATTAAATTTTTAATTCGAAACTTTAGATGTGTCTACTAGAAAATGCTAAATTTCATATATTTCTATTGGGCAATATTGACCTTTGCCATGGTGTTTCTTAGACCTGGTGATCACATCAGTTGTTCTTACCTCAAAAATGAGAGACACAGTTATATCAGGCTTCTCAACAAATTCCATGACATTTCACTCTCAGTAAAATCATATATTTTTTCTTTTGTTTTTTTTTTGGTGGGGGGAAGGATTATAATTTTTGTTTTTTGTTTTTGAGACAGGGTCTCCCTGTAGCCCCAGCTGACCTGGAACTCACTTTGCAGACCAGGCTAGCTTGATCTCTGTGAGATCGACCTGCCTCTGCCTCCTGAGTGCTGGGATTAACGGTGTGTTATGTCTTATTAATTATTTGTGTATTTGCTTTATTTTCCCTATAGGTTCATAAATGTCTTGATTACAGTGAATGGTCTGCTTGTTTTTACACTTCATACAAATTATGCAGTTAACATATATGCCTTAAATTGAAATTTTGTGACTATATTACTTTAGTTTGGTATTAGATATGTAATTGAATGTAAATGATTTGTTTCTCCTCAACTTTAGTCAAAGTATATGAAGGCCTTTCGAGTCTTAATTTGATCTAATGCTATAGTGGAATCACTGTCTTCCTCCCAAACTTCAGTTGACATCTGTAAGCATAAACTGATTCATGTATTTATTTATTTTAGGATATAAAGATTAAGAATGCAGACTCTTGGAAACGTTTAGGCAAACCAGTAAAATCATCAAATGTACTAAAGTCCTCAGATGAGCTTTTCAACCAGTTTAGAAAAGCTGCAATAGAAAAAGAAGTAAAAGCTCGAACACAAGAACAAATACAGAAACATCTGGAACAAAACTCAAAGGAACCAAAAGCATCAGAAGAAAGTCAGAGGTCTGTGACTTATTGGGTTAGAGAAGATGTTGGGAGGTTTAGAAATGTGTTTTAACTGTTAAGTCACTGTGAGTCACTTATCTAGTTGAACACACAGCAAATGATAATTATAAAAGGTATATTTTTATTAATATTCTTTAAATGATTGAATCTATTTTGAAGAAGATAGAAATAGCCAAGAAATTCAGCTAGCAAAGATACAAATATTACTGAATTGTAATGATACTATTTCTTAGAAATGTCTTCCAAGTTTTTCCATTCTAACATAGGAAGATAGTGGTGTATGCCTTGGTCACAATTTTCCAAAACCCTTCTTCTTTAGGTTGTTAAAAGAGCCTATCCTATTTAAAATGTATCAGATCAAAAGTAAAGTTTAAGGACCGGGGGTGTCTCAGTTTGTACAGAGATTTCCTATCATGGGTGAAGCCCTGGATTTGATCCCCAGCACACATAAATCTGGTGTGGTGGTGCACACCTGTCATCTTAGCATCAGGGAAGGTAGAAGCAGAAGCTTCACAAGTTCAAGGTCATCCTTAGTTACCTAGTGAGTTTGAGGCCAGCCTACATAAGATCCTGTCTATAAATAAATTAATAAAGTAAGTTGAAAAATAATGTCGCAACATGGGAAAGCAAGTATTTGGTACTTTGTATTTGTTATTTAATCATGTGTCTTTGTAATAAAAAATTCCAAAGACCTTGAAACCTACTTTAAGCTTTACTATTTCTTTTAGGGAGCTTAGAAATGGATTGACTCTTGAATCTCTTTCAAACAAAATACAAAGCAAGTGTCTCGGAGAAGAACAGAAAGAACAGGAAGGTCAGGATAAAAGCATGCTCCAGCTTCTCCAGGACCGAAACCTAGCGAGGGAGAAGGAGCAGGAACGGAGAAGGAGAGAGGCAGTAAGTGAATTAATTCCCTTTGCGAAACGAGACTACAAAAGGGATGAGTTAACACACCACTGTCTTCATGTTCAAAGATAAGCTCGAAATGAGCTCGAGATTGGGAGTACCCAATCTTGTCAGGGTCTTGTGTGTAACGACTGCTGCTCTGATTTCAAACAGTGATATAGTCTTGTCATATCCAGAGGACAGAATTTCACAACACTGTCCCTGCCACCAACATCAACACATAATAAGCCTTTGTTTAATAAGTCCATAGTTGGAGGTTAGAGAGATGGCTCAGTTGGTAAAGTGCTTGCTGTACAAGGATGAGAACCAAAGTTCAGATCCCCAAGATTAGGTACTCCCTCCTGGAAGGGGAAAGGCCTCATAAGATGAATAAGACCCTTCCCCTCCACATGCATACCAGGCAAGCATGGAGACAGGAGATAGAGACGGAATTGCCAGAGCAAGCTGGCTGCTAGACTAGCTGAATCAGTGAGTTCTGGGTTCAAGTGAGAGACTTGGCCTTAGTAATAAGGTGGAGGGCAATCAGGGAAGATACTCAGTGTCAACCTCCAGCTTTCACATACATGTGTGCACACCACACACACACACACACACACACATATACACATAAAAAATAAGTCCACAGTTTATGTTAGTATTCACTCTGTTGTGCCTTCTGTGTTTTTAAATTTTCTTCTAATGTATTCATTATATCTTCATTAATGTACATAATATGCATTGGTCAGATTCACACCCTGTAACACACTTTTGCCCAACACTTCCTCACCCCCTGCACTGGTCTCTTTCCCAAATAGTCCCCTTATATTTTCATAACTTAAAAAAAATCCAGATTCCACATATTCCACTACTTTTCTTTTGAGTCTGGCTTATTTTGCTGGACATTATCATCTCCAATTCTATCCATTTTCCTTCGAACACATAATTTCACTATTCTTTTTGTACTTATATTTATTACTCTTTTGGTAGGAAGGCCACAACTCTGTTTGTATGACATAGCCATGAAAAACCCAGTTTACTGCCAACTGGCTACAGACTGGTATTTTTACAAAACTTTCACTTGTCTGTTGCTGTTCCCAGGGGGAGGGACTCCTTTAAATTTTAGTTTTGCTATCATTTCAGATGGCAAGAAACAGCTAACATATATAACAAGAGCTTTGGGGGAAACTTGGGGGGCTTTCTTTACAGCTCAGCCCACTCTAGGTGCACACTGTTCTCACACATGCCACTCACCCCTTCTCAGAATGATCATGCTAACATTCAATGTTAAAACCTTTCATGATAAACTCCAACTTGGCTTTGTAAAAGTACTTCAAGGGGCTGGAGAGATGGCTCAGTGGTTAAGAACACTGGCTGTTTGTGCAGAAAACCTAGGTTTGAATCCCAGCACCCAGATGGTGGCTAACAACCATCTGTAACTCCAGTTCCAGGGGATCTGACACCTTCTTCTGACCCCTGTGGGCACTGCATGACATGGGTGCACTTATGCACATGAAAGCAATACACACATACACAAAATAAAAAGTTTTAAAAAGCTTCAGAATAAACAAGTCTCTGTTGTCTTAGCTTTTCCTCTAATTGAGCTCATTTCTAAAAGATTTGGAGCATGTAAAAAAAGACTTAGAGCCAAGTGTGTGGTACATGCCTTTAATCCCAGCACTGGGGAGGCAGAGGCAGGTGGGTCTCTGTGAGTTCAAGGCCAGCCTGGTCTACATAGTGAGTTCCAGGCCAGCTGAGGCTACAGGGAGACCCTGTCTCAAAAAGACAAAAATTAAAAAAAAAATCAGTATTGATCTTTGTCCTAGTTTGTTTCTTCATTGCTATGACAAAACACTCTGACCACTACCAACTTGGGGAGGAAAGGGTTTATTCAGCTTACACCTCCCAGGTCGTAGTTCATCAGGGAGCCCAAGGTAGGAACTCCTGGAAGCAGGAGCTGGAGCACAGGCCATGGAGGAACGCTGCTTACTGGCTTGCTCCCTTGGCCCCTACTCAGCCTGCTTTCCTATACAACACAGGCCCACCTGCCCAGGGGTGGCACCACCCACAGTGGGCTGGGCCCTCCCGCATCACTCATCAAGAAGATGCCCTTCAGACATGGCCACAGGCCAGTCCAATAGAGGCAATTCCCCGATTGAGGCCCCCTCAACCCAGGTGTGTTAAGTTGACACTAAAGCTATCCAACACAATCTTCATAGTTACACAGAGAATGAACTTAAGTAGAATTAGCCTTAGGTTACATAGTGATAGAATCAAAGAAAGCTCATAGCTCTCATATGTTATAATTCTCCCACATAGGGAGTGTCTTGGTTTATTAGGATGATGTTATGTGTCTAGCACTATGTTGGATACAGAAATAAAACCATGAGCTCTCAGTTCACATTCTTACCTTACTCAAACTCTGTCAATATTGAGAGATTCTTGGCTTCCAGAAATAATCTAACTTATTCTTCATGTTCTTGAGGATATTTATCATATAAATAACATATGTAAAAGAACCAGAGGTGTTTTAACAAAAAATTTAAAGCATATACAAAGTCATTACATTAAATAGATATTTTGTATTTTTTCCATATGTACATGATTATTTGTGTAAAGCTGTAATAAAGGCATACATTTTAAACTAATTCAAGTCTTCTCTTTTCTGCAGATGGCGGGTACCATTGATATCACTCTTCAAAGAGACATTATGACAATGTTTGAAAATAACTTCTATTAAAACTCAGTTTGTAAAGTAACTATCAACTTTAAATGAATGGTATAAATGTTTACAATGCTTATGGTAAAATGATTGCTTTCACATACCAAGATATCAACTGTATATTGTATTTTGACTGCCCTAAAATAATTAAACAATTTTCACTTACATTTTTAATAGATATATGTTCATTTTTAGTGAAATAATTTTAAAGAAATTTTACAATTTGGATCTCTAAAAGTGAATAAATTGTATTCTACAGAGGATTTTCAGCTATGTATTATAGCTCTGATCTAAGCAAATCTAAAAGAGATTGTCTCTGATGGTTGGAAAAATGAATATGTAAAAGTATATATAAAAACAGTTTCTGTCATTTTTATTTTTTATTTGTATGTTTTTGCTTGTTTGTTTGAGACAAAGTCTACGAAGCTCAGGCTGACCTTGAACTCTCTATGTAGCCAAGGATGACCTTGAACTCCAGAGTCTCCTGTCTCTATATCCCAGGTACTGGATTCCTGGAGTATGCCACCACTGCCACCACGACCAGCTGAGTTTTTACTTTTGTTTATTTATTTATATTGGGTTTTTGAGACAGGGTCTCCCTGTAGCCCCAGCTGGCCTGGAACTCCCAATGTAGACCAGGCTGGCCTTGAGCTCACAGAGATCCACCTGCCTCTGGCTCCCAAGTACTGCAGGGGTTAAAGGTGTGTACCACAATGTCCAGCTTGTATTTTTTATTGAATTTCATACAATATATTTTGATCCCATTTAAATCCTCTCCCTTATCTGCACCCCTCCTTACACACCTGGCCAATTTCATGTACTATATTTAAATCTTTGGGTAGATTGGTTGAAATTAAAGAAAGAAAAATACTGGTTTATACCTGATCCTTTCTATATACTTAAAAAATAAAATAAAATAAAAGATTGTTTGGAGAGATGGTTCAGTGAATAAAAGTGCTTGCCAAAAAGAACTTGAATTCAAATTCCCAAAACCTATGTAAAACATCAGACATACATTTTACAACATCTGTAAATCCCAGTGCTTCTGTGTGGGCCAGCTAATCTGGACATATGCAGTGGAAAACAGGAAAGAAAGTTTATCTCAAAGAAAGTCCAAGGCTAGGACTGACACACAGTGAGATTGTTCTCTGACCCCAGCATGTATGCCATGGCATGCACATGCCTGCATACATAGAAATGTACACACACACACACACACACACACACACACACACACACAGAGGCACATGCACACACACACACACACACACACACACAGACCATTTTGGTTCTCTTATCTTCATACACATGACTGTCTTCAGGTAAAGCCTGGCTTCTTTACATAGGTCAACCGTGTGTGTGTGTGTGTGTGTGTGTGTGTGTGTGTGTTGTTCTAAGTGGTTGAGAAAGTGTGATTCCCCCTCAGCCAGCTACATCTGCTTCAGCTGGGAAGTTTTTGTTTTGCTTTTAAGTTGTTTATTAGCATAGATTAGATATATACAATAGTGAGTTTTATTATGATATTTCCATGCATATTTATAATATATTTCCACCATATCTACACTATTGCCATCTCTTGCCCCCTCCCACTGATCCCTTTCCTTTTCCCAACTAGTCCCCTTTCTGCATTTTTAATTATTTGGTTTCATACAATGTATTTTGATCATATTCCCTCCCTCCCTCAACCCCTCCCAGATTAGTGGCTACACTGAAGAATCATCTCTCTGTCCCTCAGCAACCATTAACTGCCTATAGATCCTCAGAGGGTGGGGTCTAGCAAGCCCCTCCCCGCACCATGATTAATGTTGAGGCCCAGTCTTGTGCAGGTCCTGAGACTCCCTGAATCAGCAGCTCTGGAGGTGGGATCCAGCAATTGATTCACTAGCTTGTTTCTAGAGAGCTTTTTGTAGTGCCACTTGCAGACCATTCTCTCCTTTCTTCCTCTCTAAAAATGCACAGCTTTTAATTCTTATGTCATTAAACTATGCCACTCAGAGTCACTTTCCATTCCCAGTTCATTCCTTTTGTTGCTGGAATTAACCCAAGACTGACTTAGACCATTGAGAAGACTCAAACCATCCTCAGGATGCAGAGGAAGTTAATCTTTGTTACACGCAGGCCCAGTCTGAGCTTCTGCTGAGGAAACTGAGGTACAGACCAGAAGTACATACAGGTTGTTATAGAATTTGTCCATCATCCCTTGGCAATAATCATATCGGTGGATTTGAGACTTTCAGCATAGAAGGGTACATGCCCCTTAAGCTATTATAGGAAATTTAAACAGCATTTTATAAAGCAGTAGATATTTTGGACAAGTGTGGGGTTGTGATATTTCCCAGCAATATGCTGATGCCAGTACCATCTTAGCTATTTTAACAAACAAGACACATGGTAGCAGGTGCTTCCTGAAAGTTCACTGCAAGAGGCAGCAATTTCTAAGGTGTTCACAGCCTGCAGTTTCTGAGATTGTCTGCCTTGTCTTATCTCAGACTGAGACTGAGCTCAGAATGGCCTTTATGATTTGAGTACAAGGAAGCTCCCAGAGTCCTGTTCTGTATCAACAAGCATGCTTATTAGTACTACATAAGATTCTTGTCAAATACATTTGTTAGTACTTACTCATCCACCATAAAGACCACAGTTATACTAAGGTCATAGTTCATTAGTTCCACATTAGGTTAATTTTTCCCATCACTCTGTTCCCAGAGATTTTAGTTCCTGCCTCCTTTTTCCCTCCAATGGAGAGTTCTCTGCTTGCTAATGATCTTGATTAATGAGATCACCTCCAGCTACACCCTTTTCCTATTACTAGTGACTAAAAAACGATCCTTTCAGCTCAGCCTCAAATATCTTATTCTTTCACTATTTTTTTTTTCTAGCTTACCTAGTATAGGCTCCTGACTACAATTCTCAGATCCTGACAAGACCTGCAGTCCACTGATCTTTCCACAGTACTCTTCTGCTGATGGAAGCTCAGTGGAAGCACACAGGCAGGGTTCCATTTCCAGCACCTGTAAAACAGACTTGAGGTCTTACAGTCTTCAGTTGCAATTTAAAAAAAAAAAAACAATAGCATTTTAATATGTCACATTTGGGTACACGAATCCTTTTTGAAGGAATTATTTTTATAGACTCAACCTGCCTTAAAACTCCTAGTTCAATACCTCTTCCTCTAGAGAGGTCACTTTTGACTCTAGCTTTCGGTAATTTTGATTTTTAAAAATTAGGAAATAGGGGGCTGGAGAAATGGCTCAGCAGTTAAGAGCACTGACTGCTCTTGCAAAGGACCCAGGTTTGATTCCCAGTACCCACATGGCAACTACAAAACATCCTTAACTCCAGTTCCAGGGGAATCTGAAGCCCTCTTCTGATCTCCATGGCATTGCACGACATGGGTGCACTCACGTACATGCAGGCAATACATTCATACACAAAAAATATTTTTTAAAATTAGGAAATTAAAGGAGTAACAATTGGAAAAGAAGAGATCAAATTACCCCTTTTGTAGATGATATGATATATCTAAGAGACGCCAAAAATTCCACCAGAAAACTCTTAGAAATTATTAACACGTTCAATAAAGTGGCAGGTTACAAAAGTAACTTACAAAAGCCTGTAGCCTTTCTATATACCAATAACAAGCAATCAGAGAAAGTACATGGAGACATTCCCCTCACAATAGCTGCAATAAAATAAAATAAAATATCTTGGAATAAACCTGACCAAAGACATTAAAGACCTCTACAATGAAAATTTTAAATCTTTAAAGAAAGAGATTGAGGAAGACATCAGAAGATGGAAGGACCTCCCATGCTCATGGATTGGAAGAATTAATATTGTGAAAATTACCATCCTATTTATAGATTCAATGCATTGCCAATCAAAATCACCATGATATTCTTCACAGAATTGGGAAAAAACATCCTAAGATTCATATGGAAGCACAAAAGACCTCAGATAGCCAAAGCAACCCTGAGCACTAAGAGCAATGCTGGGGGTATTACTATACCAGATTTTAAACTGTGTTATAGAGCTATAGTCATAAAATCATTGTACTGGCACAAAAATAGACCTATAGATAAATGGGAAAAAATTAAAGACCCAAATATGAGTACATGCAATTTCACCACCTGATATTTGACAAAGGGGCCAAGAACATTCACTGAAGGAAAGAGCATGTTCAGCAAATGGTGCTGGCAAACCTGGATCTCCACCTGTAGAAAAATGAAACTAAACCCCTATCTTTCACCTTGCACAAAAGTCAACTCCAAATGGATCAAAGACCTCAATGTAAACCTGAAACTCTGAAGCTGTTAGAAGAAAACATTGGCAATAACCTCCAAGATATAGGTGTAGGAAAGGATTTTCTAAATCAGGCACCAATTGCTCAGGAAACAAGGTCAAAAAATCAACAAATGGGACCTCATTAAACTAAAAAGTTTCTGTACATCAAAAGAAGCAACCAAGGAAGTGAAGAGAAAGCCCACAGAATGGGAGAAAATCTTCACCAGCAACACTTCTGACAGAGGTTTAACATCCAGAATGTATAATGAACTCAACAAACAGAGAATCAAGACAAGAAGTAACCCAATTAAAAA